AAGGTAGATGCTTCTTTCTTTCTTAATAGGCCAAGTAGAAGGTGGCCCGGAGGTGCTGCGCCCCACCCGCGTGTCCCAGGCACCCAGGGTCACTCTGGTCTTCCCCGGCTCGCTGCCTTTTCTTGTACGATCGAAGATGGCTCCAGCTCCAGCCCCATCTCCACAGTCCCACAGATGGAAAGGGCATGACGTGGGAGTTTTGTTCGCATCCCGTTAACCAGGCCTGTGGACATACCTGATTGCAAGGAAAGCTGGGAACTGTCGTTTTTAGCTGGGTGACTGTGTTCCCGGCCACAGCTTGGGGGGTTACATCCCCAAAAGGAGGAATCGGAAATCGGAGTTCGGAAGATCTCTGTCCAGTGGCCTGTATCCTAGGAAGGTGTGGGCTGTATCATGAAATGCTTTATAGAGAACGGGGAGTTGTTTGTTTAAAGCAGGGCAATATGTTGATTTAAAAAGCACCTTTCCGCAGGTGGGGCCGGCAGCAACCTGGCTAGCAAGCGTGGTAGTGATTGTGGAACAGGGAGATGCTGAGGGTCAGTCCCTCCTGACCGCCTGGGTGGGCCTGGCCTTTCGATGGTTGGACAGGCCGTGCGGGTCAGTGCGTCCTGGGCTGTCGTTTCTGCAGATCTGCCTGAAGCCGTGGACTTGTTGGGGTCTAGGGTTCGTCAGGAGGCCGATGCCCCTCATTTGAGACTAACCCAGAAACACATTTTTACGACTTGTTAATGATGCGAGTTGCAGCTCGGAGAATGACGACCAGCTGCGTGAAGGGCTCCTTAAGGTTGGGCCAGCGGTGTCTTTTTATGCCACGAAGCTCCAGGGGAGGGGACAGGACTGTCCCTCTCAGGCCCTGATCCTTCTTGGTTCTGCAGAAAAGTTACTTCTGTTCTTGGCTCTGCTTCTAGTACTCTAGAAGGGACCATCATTTCGACACCCCCTTCATTTGTCAATGTGAAATTGAACATCCCTAACATTTTACGAAGTCTTCTACCTGTTTAGAAGAGAAACTTCCCACTCAGAATATCCTGAGAATCCCCCAGCCTAACTGGC